AAAAAAAAAAAAAAGACTGCTAATAAGAATTATTTCACCATAGGTAAATTTAAAGAATGCAATTAGCCATATAATCTATAAAATATCATTTTGCCCTTGGGTAACTAACGGTAATACAGTTAATAAGCTGGCAAGCTCTACAGTGGGCCTGCCTGCCTGTGAATGTGGCTGTGCTACTTTTTTTTCAGTGACCTTGGACTAGTTATTTAACTCCTCTCAGCCTCAGTTTCTTCATCTGTAAAATGCGGATAAAAACAGACCCTGGCCCCAGGATATCAAGAGGATAAAGCTAACCCATGTGAAAGTCTTGGCTGACTTGGGGCCAGTCACTATGTTGTCAGAAAATGATGCTATTATTGTGGTCATCATCTTTAGTTGTAGGTTACAATGGTGGATCTTGATATTGCAAAGTTGTTATATTTGGTACTCTTTGTTGTCAGTAGCAAAGACCAAAAGCGGTAAACATTTCCATCATACGTGGTGTCCATCTTTCCATGCCATTCCAGCAAGTGGTGAGTAACTTGAAGTCAATTACTAGGTGTGAAATGAAGATGGGAGGACCTGGTATTCCCTCACATGCCGATATACTAGACTAGTTAGGTTACCTGTGAGTTCACTTTCCTCCTTACCTCACCATCCCTGCCAATAAAATGATTCATGTTTTAAGCCTATAAAGCAGAAACTAGCACCCCAGTTCTCTTGGTTTGGAGGCAGATGAAGAGAAGTCAAGAGACACTCCTAACGTTGTTGGTTATTCTCACAGATTCAAAGGACAAAAAGGATTGAGGTTGATTTTTAAAGGTGAGCCCAGCCAATGGGCTGGTCCGGGACAGAGCTCCAGGGCTGGAAGTGGTGGGTAGTTTAGCCCAGTTTTTTTGTTTTTGAAACACCAACTTTGATTGAGTCCAATCCATTGGGGGTTGTTTTCTAACTACTACTGCCTGAGAAGTCTGAAACTCAAGTTCAAACAAATCTTTATAAATGCTAAGAGCTACTTTTTCTTTAGGGCTGGGTACCCTGCTAATTGTCTTCCCTGCCTTTTCTAATTTCAATCTCACTGCAACCTGGAGGTTAAAAATTGTTACCTTTCTGTATTTTATAGAGAAGAGATAGCCGAGGCCCTGAGGTTTTGAGTGACTTGCCCAAATTCACAGCGTGCAAGCAGTCAAGCAATATCTGAATGGAGCAGTCTAACGCTAGAGCCCACCTCCAACCCTTAAATACATACCCCTCCCTCACACCTGAGATCTCTAGGAGAAAGAACTCCTTGTATAGAAGCAGCGACCAAAGTAGGTAACAGCAAGCCAGTGCATTCCAAACTCTGTCTGATGGGAGAAAATGCAATATGGCATGATGAGGGCACAGGATAGTTTCATTATCGACTCAAGTGGCCAGACATTGTTTCTTCTCCACATGCACCACCGTTCCTGATTCTAGCCAAATACTGATCGAGGATAACCATTTGCTATTTAAATCAGAAGGTGCCAACACTGAGAAAGGGAAATAGCTAAATGGGTTATTTATTTTGTCAGAGACTGCCACTGAACTGGAGTAGACAGACACACTGGGGTGAAGCCTGAGAAGGTTATATTCTTTTCAGCCCCAAATATCACAACAATCTCACCTGAAAACTGTATGAGCTCTGTCATTTTCAAAGCACCTACTGTTGCTCTTTTCATTGTCCCACAACCTTCAGAAGCAGCAAGGAGAGGCAGATGGTTCCAGAAAAAAAAAAAAAAAAAACAGCTTTCTGCAAAGTTAGTAAAGTGAAAGAGGAGGTACTAGAATTTACATCTTCGTACTCTCTACCCAGCAGTCCTACTATACCACAATTTACAGTAATAGTTAAGATTAATTCAAGTGCTACATCGAGTCTGACCATATTCACAGTGCTGACCAGTCATTCATTGTTTTCTGAATACCTTAGGTTGGTCCCAGGTGGATAAAAAGATAAATAAGAGATGGTTCCCAAACCTCAATTTAAAATACCATCTGCAGGACTGGAAAAGTTATATAAATGTTGACAGAGCTTAGTTATATTTACACAGAGTTAAAGCTGAATTTAACATACTTTTTTTATCTTTAAAAGTCTTCCTTAGACAAACTTTCTTCCACTCAGCAGTGGGAGCCTATGTCGTCTTGAGAGGGATCAGAGCTACATGGAAGATTCAAAGGAAGCCTCGACAGCTGGCTAGTGATCTGTCCCAGTGAAGGCAGGAGGGGCAGTGGGGACAGTGAAGGGTCCACCTGGAAGCCAGTAGCCCCGTGTGGCCGAAGTGAGGGTGGGCAAGGAAGCGCTGGACGCTCAGCTGAGGAAGGTGCTCTGGGAAGCAACCTATAGGGGCTCTCAAGGCCAAGTCAAGATTAGACTTGATTCTCTCAGCAGTGGGGAGCTGTGGAAGGTTTGTGAACAAGGTAGTGCAATCAGCCAGGGAAACGTGTGAGCCTAGAAGAGTCAGCTTGGCAGAGGATGACGAAAGAATTTGGGACAGAAAGGAGTCTGAAAGAGAAGACCAATCCAGGTGTGAGCGAGAAATCTGGGAACAAATTCCCTGCAGAGGAAATAGAAGGAATCAGATTATCTCAACATCACAGCAGAGAAGTGCTAGTACTTCCTTACCGGACTCATGGGGACCCAAGATAATTCTGGTGCCAAAACCTAGAAAAGGAGCTTGAGGGAAAAAAATTGATGGATTCAGGCATTCATGACAGAAAAATATGTCAATTCTTAACTATAAAAAAAAAAATGTTATTTGCCTAGTATTTTGTTTAAAGATTTAAATTTATTTAAATAAATAAAAGGAAGCATATATGATCAAGTGCTTATAAAATTATTTACTAATTTTCTTTCATTTAATTAGAAAATATGGAGTGATTTCTCTAAAGAAAGATTCACAACAGGCTCCTTAAAATAGCAAGCTGCCCTCAAATTTAAAATATTTCTATTCGCAAAGAAAAAAAAATCATTTTCAGATCTTATGGAAGAATACATTGAGTGAGGTGCCTCAATAAGTAGATAGACTATCCATGATAGAGTTTCTTTGTGAAACACTTAATAACAAATGTTCTTTCAGAAAAGAGAGACATAATAACAGTCACCACAGTAGCCAAAACAAAAGTTTCAAATTCCTTAATGAGTTAAAGATTGACTAAGGAACTCACAGCTAAGGTGAGAACCAACCCCAGGGTTGACCTGACAGTGAATAAGATAATTAAACAGTCCAGAAGTTTAAGGTTTGAGTGTATAGGGAGCCGGGCTATGAGCAGAGACAAAGGCCTCAGAAGTAGGAGTCTATTAAAATAACTCTTGAGAACATCTGCCCACTTAACTGAGCCTCGTCTCCACAGGAAAGTAAGTTTGTAGGAGGCATCTATATATTTTTTCTGTTACAAAATGCCATAATAGTACTTTAAATGAGAAAGTGTCTTGTCACTTCTATTTTTAAAATAAAATTCTTTAAAAAGCCCCAGGCCTTCCTGACTTATGAAAACACAAAATATCCCTATCTTCAAGCTGCCAACCTGTAATGAGTTTCTAGTTTTATGCAAAAATGAAGAAAAAGAGTGAAGCCATGGTTTTGTGGTAGCGATTAGTACTTTCTATAATGTTTTGTAGGTGAAAATGTAACATGACTAACTAGCTATTTTGGTACATTTCCTTTACTCTCTGCTGTATAAAATAGATTGAGTTTTCTTTCCTATCCCAGTCCCATATAAATATCACCCCATTAAATAAAACACATATGTATTTATATAGCTATTTAGACAAGCCCACCTTCAAATAAGACTAACAAAAAAACAGGCTCACTTCTCAAGAGTTGGTCTCTCATTTGTTGACTTAGTTTAGTTGTATTTACGCAGAGTGAAAGCTTTTCTAAAGAAAAGTGTATTTTTATACTGAAAGCATGGACAGTCAGACTAAGAACACATCTTCCTAGAATATATATCTGCTAGAAAATGGGAATGGTCACAAGAATATGCTGTGAGATATTAATGTATTTTATCTTTAGCTATTTTGCTCTTCTCACTGTTACTTCAAGGTGCTCACTGCATTCTTTAAAAATTAAGCCATTTATTAACTTTCAAGATAAGTAGGTGGAAAGCCCTGCTAGTTTATATTTCTCGTTAAGGAAAGAGTCCATTCCAACCTGACCCGGGTAACACACATAAAAGCAGTAGTTAGAGCACTCTGATTTTATTTTAAAGGAGCCTTTTACTTGTTCACACATTTCACAAATAACACAGTGTTGTTATTTCCACAAAGTACATGGAGTACTGAGTGTGGCAGTGGACAGATATGTATAGACCGATCTTTTGTGATCTAGGTTTGTCCTCTCAACTAAATACCATCTCACACAAGTGCATCCACGTAGAGTGGGGCCTCTAAGGCAGGGTTTCTCAACCTTGACTCTATTGACATTCTGGGCCAGATAATTCTTTTTTGGGGGTTTTATTTTCTGTGTGTGTGTGTGTGTGTGTGTGTGTGTGTGTGTGTGAGGAAGATCAGCCCTGAGCTAACATCCGATGCCAATCCTCCTCTTTTTGCTGAGGAAGACTGGCCCTGGGCTAACATCTGTGCCCATCTTCCTCTACTTTACACGTGGGACGCCGCCACAGCATAGCTTGACAAGCGGTGTGTCAGTGTGCGCCTGG